GTGGCTGAACAGCAAAACAGCCAGAGCAAAAGGGAGGAATAGCGGCAAGCAGCCTCTTTCCCTCCCTTACATTATAAAGCGCTACCCCCACCTAAGGGTGTGTAGCACTCACATAATCTCCATGCCCTCCTCTTCCACAGGCTCAGGACGTATACAAAGTAAGCACCCTGGCTTCCTGCTGAGTCACTTAGTCAAAACTCTAGACTCCCCAAGTTGACATAATGTATCAACCATAACAGAGCCTCTCTAAGATATGCTATCCAGACACTGGAATATAACAACATGAGAAAGAGAAGAAAGAGGGAAGCAGGGACAGTGAAGAGAGAAACTACAATGTAGAAGAAGAAAGTAACAGTCTGAGCCTTCTCCCTAAGTTGGGACTCACTGCATTGGAGGAGCAGATCAAACTTGCAGACACACAGCGACTGACAGCAACCCCAGAGGCCTCCATAAAGAGATGCAGCAGTGGAAGGGAGCAGTGGATGTGGAAGACTGCACTGCCTGGTGGTGAGTGCAACGGGATCGGATGTCCCACAGGAGAGAGTAACTGGCCAAGAGCTGTCTTGGAGAGAGGCCACCTGAGCTCAGAACTCAGAACAACTGCTTGGTCCATCAAGCAGCTCCCACCTGAGTTCAAGCCCGCAGAAGGTGTAATGACTACTGCAGGATGAATGGGTCTAGTCCCAGCATCATAGACAGAAACTAGCCTAAACTTGAGGAGAAATAAAGGTCCAGGCTCCCTAAGATTATCTACTGCATTGCGATAAAGCTACTGCTGACTTGCTGGGATAAATCAACACAGATCTGGACTCTGTCTCCACATACTGTTTATCAGTGACAGCAGAGAGAATTTTTTTTCTCTTTCGTTTCTTCTATTTTTTTTTCCTTATCGTTTCATCTTGTTTTTATAGAAGTGTGAACATGGTTGCTAGTTTCTTAGCAAGAAATTTCCTAGAAGACACTCCTGTGGTTGTTCCTACGTTCTCTTCTTTCATTTCTTTCTTCCTTCTCTCTTGCTCCTGTCTTCTGCAGCAGTTTCCCAACATTTACATGCTCTTACTTTGTCCTCCAGCCTTGCTTCTAATCTCTGCGTCTTCTTCTATTTCTCTATTTTTCCCTAACCCTTTTTAAATTTTCTCCCCAAAGGGTAAAACTGGCATACTGATGGCTTATTTACTGCACACAATTTGCTGGTTCTAGATTTTATTATATAACCACAAATATAGTTCATATAATCAAAGGTGACAAATTAATGGTTACCTCAGTTGTCATTTTATAGCCTGTTTTTCCTTTTTTTCTTCTTTTTGGTAGGCTGTGTTTAATGGTATTGTTATTGCTGATTTTACCACTTTAGCTAGGGTGACATAATTGCTCTAACCAGGTTTTTCTGCCTGAAATATCAAGAATGAGATTGCCTCAAGGTCATAAAAAATCCTACAGGCCAGTGCCAACAGTACAGGGGCTGGGCCAAGCAGGCAGCAACTTCTAAACTCCAAGAAATTGAAGAGGTAGGATTTTGAAATACACTCAAAATCCAAAAGCCAGCTTCACCTGGAAGACACTTCTGAGAAGCAGTCACTTACTAAAGATTCTAAATACTAGAAATAAAGCTATTCACCATAGGCAATTTACAATCATTAACCCAGGAATTAAGCTTGAAAAAAACCCACAAAAATGAAAAGACATTTAAACAAGATGCAACCCCAGACTTCCAACTCACCAAAGGCAATCAGGTGGCACAATCCAAAAGCTATCTGCCTAGACTCACTGAAGTGGTAACAACAAAGCAAATGAAAGAAGCTCTAGAAAAAAATCAAATCAGAAATAAAACTATAGAGATGGTGATCACATGGAAAACCATGCTCAGTGACCCTAAAACAGACACAGATAAAAAAATACAGGAGCTTAGAAAAATGATAGAAAGCATGAATGTCCAACACAGGAAAGAAATGAAATTCATAAAATAGATTCAAACAGATGTCCAGGAGCTTAAAAATGCCACTGAAAGTATACAGTGCAGGATGACCTAATGTCATGATAGAATCTCAGAAATAGAAGACAGGATTGCAGTGAATGATCAGGAAACACAAGATTTCTTAAAAGTAGCAAGGGAACATGAAAAATTAATTCAGCAGCATCCATGACAAAAAGAAGAATAACATAAGATTGAATTGAGTCAATGAAAAAGCAGGAGATAGCAAAATTGACATGCAAAAACATGTTCACAGACCTCATGGCAGAAAACTTTCCTGGCAGGGAAAAAGGGTTTCACATACAGTTAAGTGAAGCATATAGAATTCCAATTAGCCGTGATCAAAAAAATCCACAGCAAGGCATATCATAGTCAAGACTCCATAAATTTAACACAGAAATAGAATATTAAAAGCTCTTAGAGAAAAGAAACAAATAACCTATAAAAGAAAACCCATCAGAATCTCTGCAGACTTCTCAACACACAACCTCAAGTTAAGGAGAAGCTGGGGTGAAGTATTTCAAGCCCTACAAGAAAACAACCTTCAAACCAGGTTGATGTATACAGCAAAACTATCTTTCAAAACTTATGGAGAAATAAGATACTTAACAACAAAGAACACCAAAGGAAGTTCCTGAACATCAAACCAGCACTGCAAAATGTTCAGAAGGACATTCTAGCAATAGATAATAAGAACTACAACTTCATAAAGGCCAATGGAAAGAATCCACCAAGCAAGGCAAACAATTAAACATGGGGAAAAAAGGGGGATGGGGAGTCAACAACAGGAAAATAAAATGACAAGGATAAATCAATACATATCAACTATAACCATCAATGTTAATGGTCTCAATTCACCAATCAAAAGAAAAAAGTAAGAGAATGGATCAAGAAGGCAGACCAAAAATACACTACACACAAGAAACACATTTAATTCAAAACAACTTGACAGACTGAAACTCAAAGGATGGAAAACAACACTCCAAGCAACAGCAACCCAGAAAAAAGCAGGGGTAGCTATTCTATTTGCAGACAAAGTGGATCTCAAGCCAAGGCTGACTAAGAGAGAAGAGGGAGGTCACTATATCCTTGTAAAGGGAACATTTCCAGAGGAAGAAATAACAACCCTAAATAAATATATATAATAAGTACCAATATAGCCAACTATATAAAACAAATATTAGAAGACAAGAAAAATCAAATAAGCACTAATACAATTATATTGGAGGATCTCAATACCCACCCACTAGAACATATAGACAGATCAACTAGACAATAAAATCTATAATAAAATGTTAGAACCAAATAAAACTTGCTAACAAATGGACTTAATAGATGTCAACAGTGTTCCACACTCCACAACATGAGAATATACATTCTTCTCAGCTGCACATGCGATGCTTTCTAAAATAGACCACATACTAGCTCATAGAAGACACTTAAGTAAATGCAAACAAGGTGAAGTTACCCCATGCATATTATCAGACCACAGTGCAATAAAACTGGAAATCAATGGCAAAATAAACCACAAAACCTTATAAACACATGAAAATTAAATCATATCAGAACAACTAATGGGTCACAGATGAAATTAATGAACAAATTAGTTTGTATATTAAATGATAATGACCGTACAATATACAAAAACTTATGGGACACAATGAAAGCAGTCCTAAGAGGGAAATTCATAGCAATGAATACCCATATCAGGAAAACAGCAAGCTCAAATAAACAACTAAGTTTGAACCTCAAGCTTCTAAAAAAGAATAGGCCAAACCCAAAAATCATATGCGGAGGAAATTACAAAGATCAGAGAAGAAATTAATGCAATGAAGACTAAGAAAACAATACAAAGAATCAATTAAAGAGTTGATTCTTCAGCAAGATTAGATAAAATTGACAAACCTTTAGCCGACCTTTTCAAAAAAAGAAAAAAAAAAAAGACTCAAATCCATGCAATTAGGAATGAAAAGAGTAAAATCAAAACATATCCTGCAGAAAGCAAGAAGACTATCTATACCTACTTCAAGAATTTGTAGTCTAATAAGACAGAAAACACAAAAGAAATGCACTGATTCCTAGATACATATGAACTGCCAAAGCTGAATCAAGAAGATATAAAAAATCCTAAATAAACCAATATCAATCAATGAAATTGATGATGTAATTAAAAACCTACCAACAAAGAAAAGCTCAAGCCCTGACACATTAACTGCTGAATTTAGAGAAAAGATGTAATTTAAAATTAGAGAAAAATTTTAAAAGCAATTTAGGAAAGTCCTAATACCACTACTTCACAATCTCTTTAATGAAACCGAAAGGGATACAATATTCCCAAATTCATTCCTGGAAACAAGCTTTACTCTGATATCAAAACCCGAGAAGGACCCAACCAAAACAGAGAACTACAGGCCAATCTCGCAAATAAACGTAAATGCAAAAATCCTCAGTAAGATACTGGCAAACACAGTGCAGCAAATCATCAAGAAGATTATATGCTATGACCAAGTAGAATTCATCCCAGAGATGCAGGGATGGGTAAACATATGTAAATCAATAAATGTAATATACCATATTAACAGAGCAAAGGACACAAACCATCTGATATCTCAATAGATCCAAACCGACTGACAAAATTCAACACCCATTCATGATAAAAACCCTACAAAATTGAAATAGATGGTCTTTATCTCAACCTGATAAAAGCTATCTAAGACAAACCAACAGCCACCATCATACTAAATGAACAAAAACTGAAAGCTTTCCCTCTAAAGTCAGGAACAAGACAAGGATGTCCACTATCACTACTCATACTCAGCATAGTGAGCCCAGTACAAAAGCCCTGGGTTCAATCTCTAGTATTGGGGAAAAAAAGATAAACTATTTGAACATATAATTAATGGAAAAAAATAAGTAGACTGTTTAAGTGCAATTACACAGGTTCTTAAAGTAAATTAGTAAGTTCTTAGAGAAGCTGCTTTGAAGTAAAGAATGACAAAACTTTTATTATCAAAAATAAAGTTGTTACCTCATCATATGTATATCTGTAGTCAGCTTTCTTTGATTTGAGGTCCCATAAGACTACTGTTCCAGATTCAAAGCCAATCAAAAGCTGTAATAAAAGAAAGAGGCACATTACCCAGGAATGATATCTATTATACAAAATATTTATTTGCTGCTAATAAATGCAACTATTATCACCCATATGTTTCAGGCATATTACAATATAATTAAATACCTGCACTGCTAATTATTAATCACTAGATGACAAACAAGAACATGCATGCATTGCATTTATATGTCTTTAATAATTAGGGACTCAAAATACACTGATATTTGAAAAAGAAAACAGTAATACTTTGATGTCCTAGAGTATATATCTTCACCAACATACTTTAACAAAGTATTTATTATTAAAAATCAATTTGGACATGCTTTAGCAATTATAAATTATCCAAATTATATGCATTATTCACCTCCATGTATATATTAATTAGTTACAAATCATAAAACCAGCCTAGATCTCTTTATGCCATATATAATTCCAGTGACCACATCAGCACTTATCTGCGTTAGAATCTAAAAGTAGGTATGTCCAAAAGTGAATTAATTATACTCTTCACTACACTGTTTCTCTGGCATTCCTGGTTATAGTATGTCTCTTACCACCGTTCTGCCAGAAAGCTAGAGGTCAATCTTAACTCTAGTTTCTCCAAGAGACAAAGCCACCAAGTAAACTTAAGATTACATTCTACTATCTAATTTATGTGCCTCCCTCACCAATACATCCCCTCCTGGTTCAACAGACAAAGATCTCTTTTCTGACGCTTAACTCCAGTCTTCCTATTTTAACTCATATTGGCAACATGATCTAAAAGATTTAGCATGGTCTCACTGCTGTTTACCTCTCCTGCTTTATCTCTTACCACCCTTGCTACCCAACATGCTCCTCAGGTCATGCACTCTCTTAACTTTGAGACTTTATATATGCTATGTCCCCACTTCCAAGCCACCCTCGGCATGATCAGTCCTACTTACTACTCAGATGTTATATTAGCTGTCACTTCCTTTGGGAAGATTTCCTTGACCTAACAATGTAGGTCAATGCTCTTCCAATGTGCTCCAGTAACATGTAGTACTTTTTCAGCCACATGATATATGCCTTTTTCCTTATTTCAATACTCCTGCAGACTGTAATAATAATCTGTGTAAAGACTGATTTTTTTTCTATTTACAATACTTCTAAATATGATACAAGGCCTGACATGTTGTAGTCACTCAATAAATGGTTTTAGAGATATATCAGAATGCAATGCAGGTTCTTGCCTTACAAGTGTGTACACTGTCTACCCAACCTCTGCTTCCCCACACCTCTGCCCAACGATTCTTAAATCTTAGTATTCCCTGGGCTAAAACCTCCTCCCTTTTCTTTCATTCAGCAATTTTTTACTTATCTTTCATGTCTAAATTCAGTGTTGTTTTCATGGTTAAGGCTATCTAATTTCTCTAAATAGACCAAGATCTCCCTTCTCTGATGCTAACACATACATCCTCATCTATATCCCTCTAATACCTAATACAATGCCCACTGCTTCTCAGATACTCAACAAATATTTGTGCAACAAATATAAAAAAAGTAGGTAGTCTTTAACTGTTCATATACTCTGGAGATAAAAATAAAGTTGGAGACAAACCCCGTAATTTCAATAAAATAGAACTTTAGCATATTACAGACTATAGAAAAAGTCTAAACTAATTATTGAAGCTATTAAAATAGGTTTTACTATGTTGATAAAGAATATAATCAATTTTCGCAACCCGAACTTTTATCTGAAGCAATGTGAGATACATACTCTTTTTGGGAAAACAGTCCCTCTTTCCTATCTCTTTTCCTAGTCCTGCAAGTATCTTTGACATGTAATATGTCATTTTCACATAGGGGGAAGTAAGAGAGAAAAGAAACTTCAGCAAGAAGGAAAGAGAGGAAAACAATAAAATAAAATTTATGAAGTGACGTACAGCGTCAACAGCTTAGGACACAGGAAACCGAAGTTCTTGTCTTAAAACTCTGACTTAGTAGCTATACAACATTATGGAATTAATTTTACCTATCTAGCTCTTAATAACCTAAGAGGATTATACTAAACTTTAACTTCTTTAGCCAGCTTACAATAGCCTAAGACAGAAATGAGTACTAATAGGTTAGATTTTGCTTTTAATCTTCTTTGCTTTTATAACTCATAATAATAATAGTTTTGTACTATTGACTATTTTCCTCCTAGTTTGCCCTTATAAAAAGTATAAATGGGTACAATATGAATCTGGATCTCTAAAATATCAAAATCCAACCTATGACTAGAAAGAAAATGTAGCAGAACACAGAATATGGCTGGGTTAAAATCAGAGAAATCAGGTTTCAAATCCTAGCTCCACCAAAACCTAGTTCTACATCTCTTAGAATACAACATCTGGAAGTCTCTCCATCATCTATAAAGTAGGGAAGATTTCTAACTTAAAATTTACTGGGAGGATTAAGAAAAGTGGTAGATATTATATCAAGTGTCCAGCACAGTCCTTAACACACAGAATTCAATAAATGGTAACTATTACTATTTCAAATAATTCTATACTAATTCTTAATTTTCCTTAGCCAAGACCTTTGCTCAATATGTAGAACCAACCCAAAGGGTTATTAGCTTTAAAGGAACTTGTCTTCTCACCTTGTACCCTTTTTAGTGACAAAAATGTCAGAGATCTTTGAACATAATAAAAGTCATTGATATTGTTAATGTAAATTCTTCTATAAGAAATCAAACATTAGATTATATACAGTACTCTATCCCAAAGCACTAATATTGCAAAACTATTTGCGTGAGATTTATTCTTGGAACTAAAGAGAATAATATAAAGCCAGAGCTAAAAAAAAAATTGAGGGTAATAACTAGTTATATATAATTTATTCATTCTTTAATTCAATTACTTTCAGTTGTATTAAGGAATTACTATCTTAATATGTTGGATGCCATTAAAAATACAAACTTGCATAAAAATTATTTCTGTGCTCAAAGAGTGAGGTTTAAAGAAGCTGAAATATACACACATTTCTATTAAGGCAATGTGTAATAAATACAGAAAACATGCATAACTGAAGTACTAATGAATGGAGAAGTGAAAATATCTTCTGTCAGGGTTATCACAGACATCGTAGAAGATGTCTATCTAAATGTGGCCTTAAGACATGGGCAGATATTCAGCCGGGAGAGAACGGTGGGGCAGAGCTGCAAATACAGAAATTCAATAAAGAAAGGGAGGCAGGCAGCAAAGAGCAATGTGTCTGAGGGAAACAATGGCTAGGGGGCTGGGGATTTAGCTCAGCGGCAAAAGTGCCTGCCTGGCAAGCGCAAGGTCGTGAGCTTGGTTCACAGCACCAGAGAAAAAACAACAACAACAAAAATAAACAAAACAATGGCTGCATGCTTCAGTATCGCATTGAGACAAAGATGTTCTGAAAGAGAAAGAAAACCTAGAGTTACATATTAAAGAAATGTTTATTTGTTAGATACTGCAGACCCACTGAGAACTTCTGAACAGACACTAAAAAATAGTAAAATTTTAAAAATAAATAAATAAATAAAATGGTCTTCTAAGAAGATTAATCTACAAATGGTGCAAGAATGGGCAAGGGCTGGTTATACAGCCCAGTGACAGAATGTTTGCCTAGCATGTTAAAGGTCACAGGTTCAATTCCCAGTACCTCAAAAACAAACAATCTAGGTAAAGGGTAGTGCAGTACAGCAAGCCTATAACCCCACCTTAATGGGAGGCCGAGGCAGAAGGATCAGCTCACAACAAGGAGGAAAGACTCAAAGAATCAGTCTTAAAAAATAAAAAGGACAAAGGATGTAGTTGAGTGGTAGAGCACCCCGGGTTAGATCCCCAGGACTGGAAAAATAAAAATAAAAAAAGAGAATGGGCTGGAATGCCTTGAACATTCAGTGGCATTATGTCATATACAGTGGCATTATGAGTCTGAATACAGAAAAGATACAGTATTGCAAAGACAGGAATTCTTCCATTAATGATTCAAAGTGGAAGAACCTTTTCTCTCTCACCATGCCTCCCACCCAAAGGCCTGCCTTTTAAACAAGCATCCTGTACAAAAGAAAATAAAATGAGGATTCAAATTACAGCACATTTGTTTTATATATAGTATCTGTCAAAACATACAATTCTATGATTATGACATAGCTTGAAACAGTTATCCTTTTGTTTTCCCAGTGGCACAGTAAAAAAGTGTTGAATAATTTATAGGTTTGACCTCTCCCACAAATTGAATGCAGAAATAATCTGTGTAAAGTCCTTTAAAGAATGCAGAAGTTCCACTCATTGACCTCTGACAGCAATAAACTTCCTGGCATTTAATTAGGTCAACAGCAAAAAATTTTATAGCTTGAAAAATATAATTATTCAATAGAACTGCCTGGAAGATTATTTTCAATTAGGAAATAATATATCATTGAAAAGAAAATTTTATTATATTTTTAATGTATAACTAACCTAAATGTAACAACAGCCAAATATGACTTATGAAATTGGCTTCAGACTACAAAAAATTAAATAACATTTCAAAACAATCTGTATTATTAACTATTTATAAAGAATATTTTAAGGAAGATGAGCTATAGAATATAAGGCGACACATGATAAGCACTACAAAAACTGAATAGCCAATTCAATTTAAAAGTAATTAAAAAGAATCCCAAAACGGGAGAAAACTTTTGTCTGTCTCATCAGAAAGTTAGGGAAAATACTGGGAGTGGCCCAAGTAAAAACTAATGTAGCCAAAATAAAAATTAGTAACTTGTATTTATTAAAATTCAGTTATATTTTAGTATTTTTTGTCCTTTCAAATTAGAAATCATTCTTTCCTTTGTTCTTTATAATGAATAATAACTCATTAAGTACACAATCACACAATAGCAATCTCAACTTTTCTGCGTAAGTGTGCTCCAGTAGTTTGCATATTTAAAAACACAAAGTGTCGTTTATTTAAATAATAAAGACATTCTACCTTTCCCTCATCCATTGGATTATCACTTATATGGACAACAGGTCCTGGGTGAGATTTAGATGACCTGAAAGGGAAAAAAGTTAAGATATTTTTCTCCTTAAAAGTTTCAACATGACTACATGTTCATTAAAATAAGAACAAAAAAAAAATATTTTACTTGCTTTTAGATTTATTTTATTTTATTTATTTAAAATAGAAGAAAGCATTTCAGTAGGCAGTCAGTAACATAAAGTTCTTAATATAGTTCAAGATAGGAATCTGGAAAAAAGTGGTAAACGACTTACAGTGATACATGTCAACAAATTTGACAATTAACTAACGACACTTTCTATCTTCAAATTAGTCAAAGTAATCAACAGAGAAAATCTACTTGCAATACAGAATGCATTAATGCAGCCATTTGAAATATCATTATCTTATTTCATGAGTCACTAATTCAGACATCTCATCTGGCTCCAAGTAGGAAACAGTTTATAACTTATAAAAAAAAAAAATCAACAAAGTAATGTTGCCTATAGTTTCTTAAGAGTAAAAGAAGTCACATGGATAAGAACATGGCTGAAATGATGCATATATGGTGGGATACAGTGTATCCTTATTCATAAACTCTGAAGGCAGAAAATTCACTCTCCTTTATGAGTCTGCGAAACTACGAACACCTACGTTAGGCCCACCATTTGATGTTGTGATCAACGTAAAATGCAGACTCTGACAGTTACACTACCAAGGAACTGATATATGACAATGATATCCCTGCCACAGGAAAGAACACCAATCTCAATACACTACTGTAAGTACAACATGTTACTTAAGCCATGTCACAAACTTATCCTTCTGTCAAAACTATATGTACTATGGAATGCAATACAAGACTATTTGTTTTAAAACAAAAAGAAACATTAAAAAGGCATCTTGCCACTATCCTTAAACTTTTAATTTTTATGTCCAAAAATATAACAAAAAATTGTAGAAAGAGTTAAAATGTAACAAATTTTTAAGAGTGAAAAGTTAGCATTAAAATTCCTCAGGACTCTACACTCAGTTTTTGTTGTCAATATTAGTAATTAAAAACAATCATCACTGAAACAAAATTAAGTAAACTTAACCTTAAAATTAACTCTATAACATTAATTTTAGCAAATTTCTACATTTATTTGTTATTAAATTCCATCAGCAGTAGTTACCATCAGCTGTCTTCAAAACAGTGGAGGCAAATTTTTATGAATCATGACAAACATTTAAAAGAAAAATAACTAAAAGATTAAAGAAGAGAAAATAGAGTATTTTCTTTACCTAGTAAGAATAATGACTTTATTTTGATTTACAGTTTATATATGTAAATAAATGCATTATAATTATGTAATTTATCAATATACATATATAAAGCATAAATAAGTGGATAGGATAACTTAACAAAAGACCAATAAATCTATATTTAATATTAAGATTGTCTAACACATTTAATTCAATATGGATTTACTAGTTGGCTATTATATGACATTATCATCTACGCCTACTGCTTTTAGATATGGAATTTATTTGCTCAAACTCACAGTTCGATGGCTTTATTCCACATAATGACGTAGCCTGAGAGTGTGAAGGACTCCACATTGACAATATGTATATTACCTCGTTCAGTGCCCACATACAGCCACTTACTCTGGAAAGGCAGATGGCAAAACGTAACCCTGTAAGAAAAAATATATACAAAAGGAAGTAAGAAAAACATCTGGTAAATTTTATTGGCTGCATTAGAAAATAAATCACAATATATGTAATTGAGGAAAAACAAAAATGACATAGAGCCATCAGATTTATCTACTCATCGTGACTAGTATTTAATTACATCAACTCAACTTACATGTCTGACATAAGGCATTACAGAAAACAGCAAATGAGTTTTGAGGTTAGAATATGCTTCAAGTCTGGCTATGCCATCCACTGTGTGACCTTGCACACATCACAAATTTAATCTTAATCTATAACACCAATACCCGTATCAATCTTGTGAAATACACAATGATAATACACAGATAATGCACAATAATAATAATCATTGCTACACTATCAATAGTAACACTAAGTACTGGGCAGTATAGAACAGACAAGAATATTTTTATTACCATTAATATATTATTTTATTCCAGATAGTTTTAATAAGAAAATAATTATCAAATGTATATATAATTTATGTTTTCTTTCTGTCTGTCTTTCTTTCATTTTTGCTCAGACAGCATCTTGCTATGTCATTCAGGCTGACCTCAAACTTGCATTGATCCTCCTGCCTCAGCCTCCCAAATGGTAGGATTACAGGTGTGCAGACCCACAACCGGTTCTCATTCTTTCTTAAAGGGAATGTGCAGAGAGGCAATTACTTCAGCTTTACATATTTTTATTTTTGTTGAGTATTTTATACAATAATGTATGTCCTCTTTCTAAATTATTCATGCAAATTTAACAAAGTATGTACAGGCTTAATGAGTCAACAAAATCATGTTGTAGTACAGATTACATATCGCTTATAAAAATGCTTAGGACTAGAAATGTTTTGGGTTTTAGATTTTTTTAGATTTTGAATAGTTGTATTTATGTACAATACCTTGGAACTGGAACCTAAATATAAACACAAAATTCATTTATGTTTCCTATACACTTTATACAGTGTGAAGATAATATTATACATTTTTTAGTGTGCTTGCATTTTAACTGCCACCTGTCACATGGAGTCAAGCGTGAAGCTTTTCCATTTGTAGGATCACGTGAGCAAGTCAAACTTTCAGATTTTGAAGCATTTCACATTTCAGATTTTTGGACGAGGAATGCTCAACCTATGCCTCGTTACTTCTAAGACAGAAGTCCATATCGTCTTTTCTTTTTGAGACAGGGTCTCACTATATAGCCCAGCCTGGCCTTGAACTCATGGCAATCCTCTGCCTAGAGTGCAGGGATTACAAGTGTGCACTAGGCCCGACTCTTATCACCTTTTCTAAAAACCTTAAAACCATATGTTTCCAAATTCAGAATTTTCCAGATCTGAGAAAATAACAATGTATATTTCATGTTTAATACAGAAATAGCATCCTATCTTATAAAACTGAATATTTTGGGGGAATATTGAATTTTTTCAGGTATAATTTCTCATAGTTGATAAAGTTAAGTATGTTCCCACAGTGTGAATGAGCAATTCCATTCCTCAGTATCCAGGCAAGAGAAAGAAAGCATAATGTTCACAGTTTTGTATAGCCCACACTAGAAACAACTCAAATGTCCTTCAACGGGTGAACAGATGAACAAACTGTGGTATAAAGTTACGATAAAAACTATTCAGCAGAAATAGTAAAAAGGAATGAAACTATTCATATATGCAACAATACTGATGAATGCCAACATCGTTATGATGAAAGAAGTCAGACAAAACAGAAAACACACTGAGTGATTCCACTTACATACCATTTACAAGCAATAGAAAATGGTACAAGAAGTAGATCAATGGTTACCTAGAAAATGCTGGGATCCACATGGGATTAGGGGTGGGGAAGGGAGCAGCACAAGAAAGGAAAGAGATCGCCACCACTTAACTGTTTTGGGAGGAGGAGTAAATGTACTGATTGTGGAAGTGGTTCCTGGTGTGTCTACGTGTCAAGAGTTATCAACTGTAGACCTTAAATATATGCAGCTTATTATTAATCTATAATAAGCTATTTAAAATTTTTCTCAGAGATTTGTGGACTTAGGAATTATGAAAATAGACGGTGGTCATGATTGATACACAGGCATGCACTCTGAAATGGGACTGCCTGCATTCAATGTCCAAGATTCTCTTTCACTAATATCTGATCGTAAGTAAACATCGGATCTCTCAGAGTAAGAGTTTTTAAGCAATAAAGCACACCTACTTTGTCATGTTTATATGAGGATCAATAAGATAAAGCATGTTAAATGTTTAAAATGGAGGCTGGCATTAAGAGCTCAGTAAATATTAGCTGAATATTATTAAAAATGAGTAATATTCTACCAATGAGAAACTGTATATAAATTTTAACTAAGTAAATAAAAGCAATAGTATGCCAAATATAAAATGAATACTCCAACAAATATAAAAACTAGCTCATTTGAAATGTGCTTTAAAACATGCTAAACATTTTGAAAATTTATATTTCAAAATAATTAAGTTGAAATAACAGAAAAAAATCAGAAAACTCAACTTCCCAAACTTTTCTGCTGTTTCTAATTCTTCACTATTCTAACTCTGCAAAAGCTACTGACTTGACATAACCTATTATTAATTTTAACAACATTATTTAAATATTATAATATGCTTCTATAATTTAAACTTATTTCCTTAAGTACTAAAAGAAGTAAGAAAACTTTCAATGTTCAGAAATAAAATCTAGAACTTTTCCACAGACTTGCTTTGTCATGATTAGCTACCATCCAAAGATTTTTCTCAGTCAACTATAAAACCAACTTACACTGCTGGAACTTTCAAGTATCTTTATATTTTTCATAAATGAGTAGAACAAACTAAGTGTATGTAATAACATAAGAAGGAACTTCAATATTCACTAAATATCACGGCAGTAAGACTTTAAGAAGTTTCCTATCATGAGCTTTAAATACTGTATATAAAACAAAAACACAAGTAATAGTAATAGAAATTTTTACACAGTACATCAAATTAAAAAACTACTCAGTTCCATAATTGTCCTCATTGTTTAAGTAAGTAAATTGGGCAGGGTAGGACAACAAGGTCATTTTTTAAAATTATCATTAACTCAAGAATTTCTCAACCAACAAATTCTCCTGGCTTTGAATGTATTATTTATAGGAAGAATGAAAAATCATAACCAAATAAAATAATTCACACCAGTGATAGTAGAGAAAGGCCGTAATAAATATGGTTCTCCAAAACATTATTACTAAGAAAGTAACTCAATCAATATGTCCTACCAAGAATTGTAAGACTCTAAATTATGGGCACTTTCATTAGTCAGTTACCAAAATGTAAAACTGGTGGTTGAGAAAAACTGGACGTGACTATATTTAACAGTGTTCTTTCAAATATGTGTGTGTGTGTGTGTGTGTGTATGTGTGTGTGTACATTCAATTACATATTCAATTTATATATTCATTTTATATATCCAATTATATATATTCAATTATATATATTTAAATATCTATATATAGAGATAAAGAGATAGATATAGATATAGATATAGATATAGATATAGATATGAATAAGACTGCACTTCCTAATTTACAAAACAAGAATCCTGGCCTTCTGTATTGAAGGTTTAAATGATAAAGTAGTAAAGAATAACTATGCAAGCTTTTATATAATAATAAATGAAATAATCATTTATTACTTAAAAGAAATATAATAAATGAAAAAATATATTGAGGACTTAAAAGAAATAACATGTACTGGCATATTTAAAACTATTCTGT